ACACAGGGAGAAAAAGGAAAGCCCAAGAAGGTGCAAACTGATGGGGTCACAAGCGACAGCACACAGACCAGAGAACTGGAAAGAAGCAGAAGATAGAAGATTAGAAAGAAAGTAATAAAATCAGTGGCATGCACTTAAAGAAAAAACAGGTTAGTGAGGCTGCAGCACCATGTGCAGGGCAATACAGTCCTCCCTCCCACACAGCACATGTAGTGCTGCCTGGGGGCCTCTGGAAATAAGACCTGAGCCCTGGCTGTTATCATGTCACTGTGCCTGCTCTAGCAGTTATAGAAGAGGGATCCTAAGAAGACAGATCATCCTGGGAGATCAGTGGTAGCGGGGAACAGTCTATCCTTGCCTTATAAAAAGGAGCATATTATGGTGACTGACTGATTCCTGCCAATGCCAAAATAAGCAAGGCCTTAACCCTACCCAAGGAATCAGCCAGGCACTTCTCTAAGAACTGAATAAAAAGCTACACCTTGGTATCAGAAGCAAAGTGGAGCTGAGGACCTGGTCTGCAGAACTTAAAAACAGTAACACTGGATCTGATAACTGAAAAGCAAGACAGCTGCAAGTAGCTTCTCCTTGTCATGTATTCTTACCTCTAAAAGGCTCTCCCTTCACTAGTTCATTTTCCATGAACAGAACACGCTTAGAAGAGAAGAGACTGAAGGTTTGGAATGCAGGGATCTCTATCCTGCTCATAGTTGACAAAACCACTATACTCAACACTCACTAACCCTTCTACAGTGTAATGTAGAACTCTTACTGTGCTCTAAGCAATGTCAACAAAATCCTAGCTAACCCAGAAGCATAGTCAGATGTACAGTAATGTTACAGGAGCAAATCATGTGATCACCTAAAAAAATCCTGCCGCCCCCCCCACCCAGCATTTTTCAGATTCCTTTATCTGCTGACAACAGCAACAAGTTCATGGAAGACCAGAGAGTCCTGAGGCAAGTGGTGCACATTCTGTGACATGAGCAATGTCCTTGTAATGGCTTTGCTTTCAAAGGTTTGAGCAGGCAATGTCATGTTTCTCCTTTCTACACCCACCTTAAACAAAGCTTTTATTACAGCATTCCTTGGATATGTTAATGCTTAGGCTTAGGAGGAATTAGAGCTGACATTACCTCATAAAGCCTGCCCCATCGTATGAGGAAACATGCATGGGAAGTGGAAGCATGAGGGAGAGAAAATCCTGCGTATCTAATTGGGAAGGAATGACAGATCAGTCTCTACCGGCTCTCCAAGCACAGTGATGTTGATTTTCAGGAGGAGAAGCCTGACAGACAACTTCTGTTTTGTTGGATCAAATACAACAGTGGAGCTCTTTTTTTTTTTAGGTGCAAAGACTGAGCAGTAACTCCGTGCAAGATGCCTACTCCTGATGACACTGTGGTGCTTATTACACAGCATCATACTGATAGTCAATTTTTAATGTATTCAACACTCATAGCCTTCCTGTGAGATGAAGAAGTGCTATTAGAGTCCTCTCTCTGTGCATCTGCAGTACAGAGAGACTCGGTGATCCATCCAACATCATAAGGAAGCATATGCCAGAGCAAGAATTTGGATCTGGTCATATCAGTCCCAGCCAGCCTCTTCTGAGCTGTAGGTTTGTAAGCGCACACTTGGCTCCACAACACCTATGCAGCTTCTAGCCCTGTAACACAAGGGCAATGGGTCTGTGTTGGTAGGCACTGTTTACAAATTCTCTTCCACTTTTATTTTTGTAAAAGGGTTGTTCCTGGCTTAATGTGAAAATACAGAACTTCCATTTGCAAGTGATGCCACCTGAAGAGTTGTGACACAGAAACCATGGGAACAGCATCAACTAGAACAGGCGTGAGATGCCAAATACAGCAGAACATTCAGCGCATCAGAGCAGCAGACAGAATCCCACAGTATTTGGAGCATGAAACAATATCACAGGGCAGAAACAATCCTGCCAGAGCACACTGTTGACATCCTGACTCATCACTGTGCCTGTGTGCAGGCATCCCCATTAGTGGGGAGCCGGGGAAGGAGAGATTACTAAGTATACACTCACAGAGTAATTCCAGTTGGAGGTCATGTGATCCAAAAGCTGCTCAAAGCAGGGACAGCTTCAAAGGTCTAACAAACATGCTTACAAGATGACAGAAGTCAATCTCTTCCAAATCAAGGCTCCATATAACAAACAGGTTTTCCAGTGACCTGTTCAGCTTTCTAACATTATGGGGCAGCGCAGTGAAACTAAGGCAGTACTTCAGAAAAAAATTTCCAGCTGAGACAGACCAGGCAAAGGACTCATCCAAAGCAAAGAGTTGGAGGATATCAAGAAAGTTTTTCTTGAAGGGCAAAAGCCCTGGTACTAGGAATATTAGTCCAGCTCTAAATAAATCACAAGCAGATCTGTTACATGATCAAGTAACAATGGGAAGCTTTGTACCCTCAAAGCCCTAGATAATTAGCCAGCTCTCACTGAGGATTCCACTATGTATTTCTTCATCTTCAGAGCCTCCCCAGAAGGCGACAGCACCATTATCATCCATGTCTAAGCACAAACACTGGAATTGCCAAGTGATATCACAACTCATGGTAAACCCTCCAGCGTCTTATCTAGCAGGCTGGCAAGGATGAGTCACTAGCAGCCCTGTTCTTCTAAAAGCTCTCATTCAAACCCCAAAAGAGACTATTTCAGATTGTTCTTTGAATGCCTCCTACAGAACATTATAGGAAGAAAACTATAATTAGTTATAGAAGCAGCTTGACTAATTTTTGAAAGGAATTATATGACACAGTAAATGCCTGGACTAGCTTCAAGTCTTAAGTTCTGAGCTAGAAAGTTCTCTTTCTTCCAAAACAATTTTTAATCACTCTTTCATAGCTGATGACATAGCTTGTGTGGATAAGAATGCCCTCGTCTTGCTAATTTCTTGCTTCAGCAAGTTTTTCAGTCTAGCAACACTGGGTATATGAAATGCTCTTTCCATTTTTCATTTTGAATATGTCATCTTGCAGCTTCAACAAATATCACCTTTTTCATGTTTTACAAAGGAGGTGGGAAGCTCTGCGCTGAGAGGGAAGGAATACATTCACCATCACATAAAGGTGTTTAAGTTATGTTTTTTATAAAACTCCACTGTCTTCATGATTGTGCAAGCACTGTTGAAATATAAGAGACGTCTCACCCATGTAGCTGTCAGAAGCAGATGAGCTCAGCCAAGCGGTGGATGCTTTGCACTGTTTGAACAGATACTATATAACTTCCCCTAACATCTTACTTAGGAAGGCTTGTTTATTCCCTGTTTTTAATATCATGTAATCCAAAAGACATGGAGCAGGTCCCCTTTTCCTGAACTAGCCTAGTGAAGAGAACAGTGAAGGTTCTTCTGTCTCACCGTGCTGCCCTCCACATTGCTCGTTTCTCTGCCTCCAGGGCACGACGTTCTGCTGGAGAAAGCTCCTTCTCTTGACCACTCAGAAGCTCAGGACTCTGCATTCGCAATCGCTCCTGGTGCCGCCGTTCAGCTTTGGCTGTCCGCACAGGTGCCACTGGATCCCCTGCTCCAAGATATAATGGACTCAACCTGGGCAGAGAGAGCAATAGTGAGAGGTAGGCTGTCCTGGTCCACCACAACTCTTATCTGCCTGTTTTCAAGATAAAAGGTGATGACTGACACCCCCAATCAGCTGTTTAGTACCACATCCAAGGACATCACCTTGGGAGATGGAAGGACACATAACAGAGGTGAGTTTCTCTTAAGAAGTTGGTTCCGATCACAGTTTCCCTTTCTCCACAAAATCCTTCCTTTTACACCCTATGTCTGCTAAAAAGGAGGTGCCATCTGCACCATCATCTGGCAGCTCCTAGGCAAAGGACATTGCTGATCCACTTACCCAGACATAGAGTTGGTTCTCTGCTCAGGCTTGATTCCCTCTTCCAGTGAATTCCTCTGTGAGCTGCTGTTCTCATTGACCTCAGAGGGCCTAGAGCAAAACAAGCATGTCAGCTGACAGTACCACAGGCTGGCATACCCGAGAAAGGTTTGGAACAGATCCAAGGTCCAGAAAGCAGTAACTAGTTCAGTTTGAAGACACGACCCTTAATGATTTTGCTCAACAGCTCCTTCTTCATGGCTGCAAGCATTTCCTTGTTGATTTCATAAATGTTCACGCTCTCTAACATTTTCTTCATTTAGAAATCAACCATCCACTAACACACACACACTCTTCAAATGCAATCCACCGTGTTTGCTGACAAGTTCTTGCGTAGTTCTAGCCTGGCTCTTTCCAGCTGCCATTACGTGATGGGCAGCCTGGCTGCTTCCAGCTTTTTCCTTTGCTGATGTCAGATATGGATGAATGTTAAAAAAGGATGACCCTCCTGGGTTGTAAGTGAATGCACATCTGGGCGAGGGATGAATCCTGAGTGGTCTCAGAACAGCGATTCTCAGTGTAGCCACTCTATGCACAACTGCTTGACACACTGAGGCTTTATGCTCATAACCAAATTACCGCAAACTTCAGATCAGCTGAGTTGTAGGTACCATCTGCACTCTTAAGTTGTGCACATGCAGATACTACTCAGTTTGATCGGTAATGAAAGGAGGTCACACAAGCCTGTTTTCCACAGGTTAAGAACATGCACACAGTTACTGTGGCTCAGTTGGCAGTGAGAAAGTTTATCATGACTCTGAGCTCTTATTTTTACTGCTCAAGTTTATTTTGATTAAATTTCAGTTTCTGTTCTAGCATGACAAAAAATATTTCAAGAAACACAAATTCAGTCTATTTCACTGCCTTGCCTTTGTTCAAGCATAAATAATAAGCAACTCAAAGTCATCTGATGGATCCTGCCTTACTGTTCTCTAACCTCCCACATTTCAATAGGAAAACAGTAGGGATAAGTAGGCCTTCACATCAGACCAAGAAGCTGGTTTGCATTTGGCTGCTGTCCTTTCTTAGAGTTACCCTGTCAGGACAGGAGGTGGAAGGTCTCAGTGCATTCATTATGTGAGAAGTTCCTCAACAGACACTGGACAGAAACAATGGAGAGAAATGAGATTCAAAATGACAGGGTAAGTGTTTTCAGCCACTGTAAGACTGACAATAAAAGTGTTTGTGAAGAGAAGAATGTACCAAAGACTCAGAAGAGAGAGTCAGTAAGGACAGCTTCAGCTTTATTCTAGTGCAACCTTATTTTTATCTGAAGTCTTATGAGAAGCCTTTTCTCATTCCCCAGTTCTATGCCCAAGAATTAGAAAAACAACATCAAGGCAACCTGGAGGACAAGTCCAGGAGAACCAGGAAACAAAAACCTAAAAACTCCAAACCTAGGTTCAGCATTAGGGCTTATCTTGAATTAGCTATCTCTAAAAATCAACATCTCTACATACCCAAGTGCACAGCTGAAGGAGCTATTCTTCTGAAAAGAAAGAGCTGGAAAAACCTGCCCATTTCTATGCTGAAGAAGAAATACTGCCCAGCCCTCTTCCCTGAAAATTATTGATACTGAGACGCCTCTGACACATGTGGGTGGTACTGAGCTACCAGTCTTGTCTTACCGAGTAGCTGGAGCCTGGATGCTCCTTCCATTTAGTCTCTCAATCTTGTACTCAACTCCTTCAATGATGACACTGGACTGCATGCTCATCTCAGGCACCTGTTTTACCATCTCATCCTCTTCTGCCTCTTCCTCCAACAGAAGGGTACGTTTCTGCTGCAGTTTTCGAGCTGCCAAAATAAAGACAGACTCACACCAGAAAGCACTTGCTAAACCCCCACAAGGATGCAACCTCTGGGCAGGTCCTTATGCTCATCATCCCTGCAAGTTTGTGCTGTTTTAAGTCCATACCCTCTCCATGGATGCCTTTGTTTCTCCTCCACTCCACTAATGCTTCAGATGTAACAAACTTTACACCATTCCCTCAGTCCCTCCTTTCTTATTCACTAAACTTCCATTCCTGGACATTATAGAACAGATTTCCAACAGTTCATCATTTGAGTGTACTCATCCTCAAACTGGAAGTTGTGTGCAGACTCTTCTGCCCCCTTCCCCAGAGTGGACAGCCCTAGGAATCTGCATACACATGTTGAGTCCGATCTTCCCACTCACCTCCTGGAGGGATCAAAGCCTGGAGTGCTGGTGACCGGCCTCCACACATGGCAGTGGACCAGGGGAACCATTAGGCAGTCAGACATACAGGTCACAAAAGGATCAGGGACAAAAAGGGGCCAGAGAGCAGGCTGCTCTCTGCAGGCAGCTATTCTGCAGGCGACCAGTCACCAGCGGCGTTCCTCAGGGCTCAATTCTAGGGCCAGTTCTGTTCAATATTTTTATCAGCGATCTGGATGCAGGAGCTGAATGCACCATTAGCAAGTTTGCTGATGATACTAAACTGGGAGGTGCTGTTGACACAGGTTCTGCACCTGGGACAGGGTAATGCCAGGCACAAGTACAAACTGGGAGAGGAGTGGCCGGAGAGCAGCTCTGCAGAAAGGGATCTGGGAGTGCTGGTTGGCAGCAGGCTCATTAGGAGCCAGCAGTGTGCCCTGGCAGCCCAGAGGGCAAACCGCATCCTGGGGTGCATCAAATAGAGTATAACCAGCCGGTCAAGAGAGGTGATTATCCTGCTGTATTCAGCATTGGTGCAGCCTCACCTTGAGTACTGTGTGCAGATCTAGGCCCCACCGTTTAAGAAGGATGTGAAGGTACTCAAATGTGTCCAGAGGAGGGCAACAAAGCTGGTGACAGGCATGTCCTATGAGGAGTGGCTAAGAACTCTGGGTTTGTCTAGTTTGGAGAAAAGGAGGCTGAGGGGCGACCTCATTGCTCTCTACAGCTTCCCGAGGAGGGGACGTAGAAAGGGAGGTGCTGATCTCTTCTCCCTGGGATACAGGGACAGTATGCCTGGGAATGGTTCAAAGCTGCATCAGGGGAGGTTCAGACTTGACATTAGGACATGTTTCTTTACCAACAGGGTGGTCAAACCCTGGAACAGGCTTCCTAGAGAGGTGGTCGATGTCCCATGCCTGTGAGTGTTTAAGAGGCATTTAGACAATGTCCTTAACAATATGCTTTAACCTTTGGTCAGCCCTGAAGCGGTCAGGCAGTTGGACTAGATGATTGTTGTAGGTCCCTTCCAGTTGAAATATTCTATTCTGTTCTGACCTGTCTAGCATAACTGCAAAGTAATAACGCTGCTTTGCCTCTTTTATTAAATGTTTTTAAAATAAACAAATGCAAACAGAACACTTGGGCAACTAGGTGTGCCCATATGCTGAAATTTCTAATGCTGCGGTTTGCTAGCAGTGGTAGCCCAAAGCAGCAGAAATCTCTGTGTAAATGCTGGAGTTGCAAAGATCCAGAGGATGTAACTTAACACTGAGATATGCAATTAGGACGTTTCATCCTGAGTAAGCTAAAACTTAATTTATTGTCTGGACAATCTTCACCATGGGATCTCTCTTCCCCAGAGATATTTTTTTTTATTGTATTTTTTTTTAATTCTAGTACTCAGAGATATCCTGATTAGAGGTGATGCTTCTCCTCATCTACCCTGCTTAACAAATCTCCAAACAAGCTGAAATGCAAGCCTGAAACTCGTCATTACTCTACAGTTTCTCCTTCCATACTTTATATCTTGATCTTTGAGTCTCCTACATCTCTCTTCTAGCCAACAGTAAGAGTCTGACATACCCAGATAACTTCTTATGTTGGACCTGTGATTCTTTTGGCCACATTGCATTGAAGAAACACAAAATGACAAGTTGCAATTTCTTTGTCTTACCTTCCTTTCTACCTTTTATGAGCTTACACTTGTCTTAAAATGTATTCATGTTCCTGAACTACTAAGTGAAAATGAACTACTAAATGAAAAAGAGAAGGTTTCTAATGCTCTGGACAAATTCACAAACAGCCCCTGAATAGGAATATAGAGGGAAGGTGGGAAAGAGAAGACTAGGTATTTATAAAATGAAGAAAAAAAACCAAGCTCAAAACCAAAACCTAACAATTTACAAAAGAAATTCTACGATAATCTTTGCAAGCAACAGAGTCACAGCTCCCAAACCCAGGAGTCCAATTCCAGCTGTATTTTCTTATGGAACAGGACAGGATTTCAGTAGAAGCCCTTTTTTCCACTTAACATCGTTCCTCATCACCTTTTAAAACAAGTCTCAAGCAGGAGGAAACTACATCAAAAACTATAGCAGTAATTTCCCCTCCTGTTGCAAGCCCTGTGCAAAATCAGAGCAGCATACTGAGCAATAAAAGCTCTGCTGTTGGAGATATACCCCACGTTGCTGCATATCAGCCTGGGCAGCTTACAAAGAAACATCATCATTTGTAGTAGCTTTTTAAAATTTTATTGAAGTGTTTACCAACTACAGGAAACCCTCACACCACAGCACTTCCACCAGTCCACATAGTAACAGTGGAGCATCCACAAAACTCCTTAACATTCACTTACTTCAAGCTATTACCAGGCGTTATGAATAACCACCCATAGGCTTTTGGAAGTGCTGGATTTCTGGTGTGTGTGCTCTCTCATGCTTCCCATGGAGAAAGGATTCACTTAACAGGCCAAATTTCCTTGCACAGATTCCAACATACCTTCCTCCTCTTTCATTTTCTTCAGGTCATCCTCTCCTACCAAGGAGACACGCTTGGGAGGCTTATCCATCTGCTGCTGCTTCACCTCAATTTCGAAATACTTCTGCCTCTCGCGGAAGGATCTCTGCTCAGGGCTGTGCAGTCCACTGGGGCTGTGCGTGGCCACCTGCAAGAGCCACACCCGGCACTGCCCACAGAGCAACCGAGCCAAACCTCCCTCCCCACACTGCATGCCCCGCACCTGTCCACCCCAGCCACGTGCTCCACACCCTCTTCCTCCTCCCCAGCCCTCCCCTCCCACAGTGCCCACACTGTGATCCTGTCTCCACATCCACAGCCCCAAAAGCCTGAATCCTCTGCGAGTCCCCATCCTACTTCCAGCTCCAGCCACCAGAACTCACCTCCAGGGCAGTTTTGGGATTCTCTGTGCTGGTCTGACCAGGCAATTCCTAAGAATATAGAGAAACATGCACGTTCTAAAAAGAAAGTTTTCTACCACCACTCCTGCCCTCCAGCCAAGTGTCACCAATGCCACATAAACAGCAGCAGTCCTGGACATTAGCTGGTGGACTGGTTCACAAAACAGTCCCAGAATTAACACAAGACAATGCCACTTTAGGCTTAGCAATTGTGAGTAATAAGGACTTACGTTAAATTGAGGGCTAAACAGAAACAGATGGTGACAACTTTTAAAAGGGCAGAAACTGAAAAACATGGGGAAATAGGTGAAGAACAGGAGCAGAGAGCTTAGCTGAAGATGGAGGAGGCTGAGACTTTCTTTAAATCAAAGACGCAACTATTGAAAATTTACTTCTAAGAAGTGGAAACACCGTCAGGAAAGAAAGAAATCTGTATTTACCAGAATAAATAAGAGAATATTGAGTAGAACTACAGGGGGCAGAAGAAGAAATTGATCCACAGAATCCATCTGTGAACCAGAAATCAGTCAGGTTAAAACGAGAACTGCCAAAAAGTTATTCAAAATATGAGTTTTTTAATTATACAAATGAAAGGGAACCACAAGAAGACAGCAAGTAGACTACCTTCAACTTCATTCAAATGCACTCCAAAAACTAACAGAAAGTTTAAATTTTGTATAAATAAGGAGCACAACAACAGAGAAGGGAAGGGGAAAAAAAAAAAGCTTCTAGCTAAGAAGCAAATGTCTGGAAATAGAAATTATTGCTGCTAACACAGAAGAAAACCTAGGAGCTCAATACACTCACCTGCAGGGACAAGATAATCACTGTTCAACAATTCTGAATGAAATGACTTGTGAAACTGCAAGTCTGACAAGCATGGATTTTTAATTGACTTGTTTCATTGGGTGGCAGTTCATGTCTAAACAATAGCTAACATATTCTTAAAAATCAAGAAGCAGGCAAAAATAATTTGAGCAGCAGAGCTATCAGTCTGTTCAATTTCAACGGGACAAATATTCACAGATGAATATAATTAAAACAAAAATAAATAGAAAAGATTAAAATGGAACAGGTGCAATGAAGATTAATCTAATACCCTCCTTTGATTATATAAATAATTTTTGAAACAAAGGAACTGCATAGATTTGTCTGAGACTTCAAAGATCAGTTTTGTGACCAACCTTGCTTAACATTTTCATTGCCAAATTTGACTCAAAAACCAGGAAGGTGTGAATAAAATTTGTGAATGGCAAAGACCAGAATACAGATTCACAGAAATGTAGAGTTTTCTGAGACCTCTGCAAATTATTTCATTCATCCCATTCCACTGAATGGGGACAAGCATTGTCAAAATTCAAAATAATTTGGAATATCATCCTGGAATGACAGGTTGATTTGAGGAGGATGAAAAGAATTTAATTTAATAGTGCAAAATACAGGATGATCTACTTCAGGATCACTAATTGTTTCTTAAACCACGATACATCAGCTAGAGACTATGAAGCTGGAGAAATCGTCTGTGTACAAGACACAATCTGACTCATGAACTTAGGTCATCCAGTGGGTCAAGAATGACAACAGAGACAAGTTCTACTTCCTTTTCATCCTGGGCTTAGCAAACATTTTCCCTGAGCTTCTACTGACAGTCATCTAACTCCGTGTAAATCAGTCTATAAAGCTAAAATGGCCAAAAATCAACCCTACCAACAGTAAAGAAAGACTTGTGACCCATATTAATTTACCAAACCAGATCAATATGAGGCCAAATGAGCACCAGTGCAGGACAAGGGAGACAGTGGGAGGACAGGATTAGCTTCGATATAACACAAAGTTGCTGTCACAAGTCACTGCAGAATAGCCATAGCTCCCAGTATAGCATGATTATGAAAAAGGTGAGCATGATCTATTGACATGTAAGGAAAGGTATTGTCAATTAAGATTCAGAAAGAAAGAAAAAAAAAAAAGAAAGAAAAAGAATGAAATAAACAAACAATACCACAGTAGAAAGAAATTGGTAAAATAGGGTATCTCATTTGCATCAAAGATGTGCCAGCAAGAATTCAGATAGGAACAGGCAAAAAGGAAAGCAGTAAGACGATTAAGAGAACAGAGGGTCTTTCCAAATGAGGTGTCAAAGGGGACAGTGTTTTGCTTCTTTAGTTTAGTAAATGAAGTGACAGTATTATTGTCTATAAACTGACAGCTCCAGAGATCTTGCATAACTGGAGTGCTGCCATGCATGGATACAAGCTTTTCAGGAAGGACTGGCAGGGAAGACAGCATGGGTGATGCCTCAACAGCACACTGAACATAGGTCAGGACAATGCCTTTGCAGAGTAAGAGCTGGCCACATACTGAGCTGCTGGAGTGCCCTGGTCCAAAGAAGCAATCCTTCCTCTCTATTCAGCACTTACAAGAGCAGTGTGCCTAGTTTGGGGCTCCCCAGTACAAGAATGCCAGTAACAAACTGCAGCATGTCAAGTGGAAGACCATCAAAATGATTTAGGGGCTGCAGGACATGACATTTGAGAACAGGCTCAGAAGGCTGTGCTTGTTCAGCCTGGAAAAGTGGAGGCTCAGGAGAGGGGGACCTAATTCCTGTATTCAACTTCCTAGAGGAGGGTTACAGAGTACAAGGTCAGACTTCTCAGAGGTGCACAGCAAAAGGATGAGAGGCACAGACACAAGTTGTGGTAAAAGAAATTCTGATAAAACATATAGAAAAAAACTCTTCACAGCAGAGATGGTCATACACTGGAAGAGATTGCCCATAGTGACCTCCAAATCTCCATTTTTGGGAGTTCAGAACTCAAGTGGACTGGGCCTGAGCAACCTCATACAACTTCAAAGGTTGCCCTGTTTTGCATGGAAGACCGAGGCAGATGACCTCCAGAGGCCTCATCTAGCCTGAATGGTTCCATGATTCAAATACATGGAGGGGAGAAGGAATAGTTCCAATTAAGTTAAAGATCAGAATCTAATAAAAAAATTCCTCAGAAATGGTTTAGCCTGGCCCTGGACTCTGGAAGTTCAGTGAGTTTCTTTGTATCAGAACAGCACGGTTATACAACAGCATCCTAATGTCTGGGGAGAATAACAGCGACATGAAATTCAATGAGCTTTCAGGACTTGATATGTTTATGGACAGGACTCTGCAGCGTGACCACCCGCAACATGAATAGACTCCAGCTTCCAAGGGGACCTCAACATGTCCCTCCTTCACGATAGCTTTCTTTGGAGGAAACAAATCACTACCTCCTTCCTATTCTCACACTTCCCTTGCTCACCTGCAATGCTCAATCTTCTGTTTGTACCACTGTTTGTGTAACATCCCCCCCAGCCAACACTAGTTACCTGTGTCTCAAGCAGAGGGTGTGACAAGGGCACTGCTGCAAAGGTCTTGTATGCTTGCTTGACATTGATGGGGATCTCGTCAGGAGATGGTGGTGAAGGCGGCTTTTGCTGCAGGGACGAAGACAGAAGGTAAAGATAACCACAGATGTTATAAAAAAAACAAACATGGGGGAAACACAGCACAACTCTCAGCCTGCAAAGCCTGAAGAGTGGAATATATAAGGGACAGCTCCTGCAGCCTTGGGCAGAAACATGAGCAGCGTATTGTATACATGCTATATATAGCAGCACACGTATCACAGCCCCGTTTTATTTCTTGGACAGTGGAAGAATGATACTTCTGGTAGTACAGATCCTCACTGACTTGACCAGAATTTTGTGACTGATCTCTTGGCCATATTGCTGTCACAGTCCTTAAGGATTTCCACCCAATTCAACTAGCATGTGCCTACTTGAATCAGGGGGCTTTTGGGCCTGGAATAAGACAGCTATGCAGTTGAGTCTTACCCCTACTTAGGACTGAACAAGCCACATTTAGTTTATTAGAAAATTAAAGATAAGTCCTGGCCTTATCTGGCATTTCTGACTAAAGGGGCCTTCTTCATGGGAAGGGATCTATTAGTCTCATTTGTTTTTTGCAGTCGTTATTGTACTTCTTTTTATAAAACGACTGGTGTGTACTTCTACGTACTTCAAGGGTAATGGTCACAGTCTCCTAAACCAGAGTTGCAACCCATTGAGGGATCTATAATCTGGAGAAGACTTGCCTTTGATCTCAAATTTTCCCTTCACAGAATTCTACTTACTCAGAAACACCTGATAAGGTCCAAGAGGACCCTCTTACTGCTTGTCACTTGTCTTTGCTGGTCTTTTCCTCACCCGTCTTCCCCGTGACCCCTCCTATCACATTCAGGGAAGAAGAGTTCGGATGACCTGCTCAAAGCATCACAGAAATGAATGGGAGTAGGGGGGAAATGACACCACCACCTTCCTTTCTCCTAGAGAGCAAATCCCCTTTTAGCTGCTCCATTCCTTCAATCCCTGTAGCTGCACTAACTCAGTTTCAGGTGTTTGTCGTTTTTCTTGTCCTGGACTGAGGCTAAATTATGTTATTTGATGATGTTCCCTTCTGCATAGGCTAAAGAACAGCACATCAAGATCAGAAGTGATTGTAAAATATGTGAATCTTGGCCAATTACATGGATTATATATAGCTGTTTTTCTGCAAATCAGGTCTCTAATTTGGTATCATGTTATACAAGTGTCAATAAAAAGAGAAGTGCCATATTGCAGGTATACAAGTCTTCTGTCATGACAAGGACCAAAATACTTCAAATCTTTCTCTCACATCAACATACAGCCCAGGAAATATGAATTTTTCAAAAACAATCATTTTGCAAATCATAAAACTTATTATCAGCAAGATGGTATTGGCTCTTACTCCAAGATGCAAGACATTGATAGACAAAGGTTCTGAAAGATTTATGCCTCAACAGAATGCAACACCTCATAAATAAGGATCTAAAACTGTAACTGCTCTGGGGATTTCAGCCGCAATACAGTTTCAACAATGCTAACTTCTTGAATGGGTAAGTGAAGACACCAGGCAGGCTGGTGAGGCTCACCTATGTTAGAAAAATGAACGGGATGCACTGACCGTGACTCTACTTGCAAAGAGTATGGGTTCTTACCCAGGGCATCCAGACTGACACATAAACAAGACCAGCCTTAGCTATGGCATGTGATCTTTAAACTACAAAACCACCATTGGGAGAGTGTGTTCAGCCTACCCACCAGAAAAAGTGGCACTATAGCAACCCAGGGCAGATAGACACAGCTTAGCAAGAAGGAACTGCAGGCCACTTACAGAGTTCTGGATATTGAAGCACAGCTCAGGTTGCTGGAAGGGGTTAGGGCTGTCCCCGTCCTCGGAATTATGTGAGGCAGCATTTTGTCGCACTCGGGAAAGAGGCTGAATGACGCCTGGCTTGGTCTACTTACGTCAATACCACACAACAGGGGGAAACGCAAAGGAAGGGGGGGGGGGGGGGGGGGGGGTGGACAGGAGAAGGGGGGGGGGGGGGGGGGGAGGGGGAAGACAGAGAGAGAGAGAGAAGAGAAATGAGCAGTTAGGGCAGCAAGACATCTCTGCCATGCAAGTGAATAAGACAAATCCATGCCCCGGAGCTCAATTCCTCAGCTGTGCTGCTGACTCCAGCTACCAGACTGGGAGGGAGAGCTACCGAAGCAAACACCAGACAATGCCTCTGGTGCGAGTATTTTGGACAAGCAAAGAGATTTAGACAAGTCAGGGTCATGACAGGACCAGTGGGTTACAGAGAAGGCCAGGACACAAGGAAGAATCTGCCATACAAGTAGCCGCTGCAAGGGTCAGAGGGGTATGGCATGAGTATGTTAAAGCTTGGAGAATGGAAGCATCACAAATGGAAGATGCAGTAGGGAAACATCAGCCAGGAATGGGTATTGGCAAAAGCTGGGAATGAAAATGAACTGAGACCCAGCTAGGGCTCCAATTAGACATGCAGACATAAGAGCAGAGACAAGAGTCTGAGATTTGATCTACATGTCATCACCGTTGGATGCTGTGTGGAAGTGAACAAAACATCTAACACTAAAGAGAATAGAAGCAGGGATTGAGTAAACCAGCAAAAACTACATGAGTGAAAGCTGCAAGGGTAAACAGGAATAAAAGCTGCAAAAACACTTGCATCAAGTTTTCAAATTGACAATATTTAAGACAGTGCATTTGTACAAACTTGAGGTATAGTGGAGGACTGAAGAAGACAGAATAAGAGCCAACAGTGAGACTTGCAGGGCTGGAAGTGAGCACACACAAAAGGAAGAGGCAAGCTCTACGTGCTGGAGAATGCATAGGGACATTACAATAAGGCTTCATGGCAGATGTACTTACTGATTTACTGTCATCCTGTGATGTAATGAAGTTAATGGAAGCCTGAAAACAGAAATACAGGTGTAAATTTGGAGGCCATACAGGAAACCTTTAGTTTACCCGGCTCCATACAAAAAGAAATACAAAACTCCCAACCTCAACCCTTGCCCTGCCCAGCCACCTGCTCTGTACAGGGAAAAGCCCCCAGGTCCCATACTAACCCCCGCCATACCTTCTTCTTCATGTGGGGAGCAGTCCAGAGCCCACCCACAAGAGCTTCTCCCAGTTCCTCTGCTATGTGAGAAGGCACTCACAACTCTCTCTGCACATCTCCAGGCACTGATCCCCACCCTCCCCCTCTCCACTCCAGCTCAGCTGGTCCTGGCCCTTGTTTACATCCCCTGCCCTCTGCACTTGCTACTGAGCTTGAGCAAAGCCATCAGCACCACAGTTTCACTGCCAGGAAGCGTTCACAGATGCCATTTCAGCAGTGGCTAGCAGGGAACAGACTCTTGTGACTCGGCCTGCTGCCCTGGGCACTGCTCTCCGCAGCAAGCCCTCAGTGTGCACCAAGCCCAAGAGCTGGGGAACGCAGAGCCGGAGGAAGGGGCGAAGAGCAGCGGTGCCAGGTGAGAGCAGCACAGAGCAGCAGCGCACACTGCACACCAACAGGCACTTACAAAGCGGGTCTCCCTGCCTGAGAGATGAGCAGGCCGAGGGGCTGCAGGCATCTGGAGAGGGGCAACGCCAGGGAGGATCATCAGGGGAGAGAATGGGAGAGAAAATGAAGAGACCGGGTTTTCCGCATGAGACACTGAGACAAGCACCTTTCCCAGCACAGAGACTGCAGTTACCCAGAACTGTCAGTGTCCCCACGCAGCTCCTTGCTGCCTGCCATGGAGAAAGCCCCTCTGCCCTCCTTGGCACGCACACACAGACCCACCACAAACACCTCCTTCCTCCCCCACCAGAAGCTTGCAAGGCCAGCCAAGACCATCATGATGCCAACCTCAGGACAAAGGATTCAACTTCCCTCAGTAATTCTCCAAGAGCTCTGAAATAAGCCTATAAATTCTGGCTGGACTAAAAGATTTCAAAACCAAAGAATTTACATTAAAAATACACGGTGGCAGAGAATTAGAGATGCAATTCCTTGAAAATCCTACTCCACAGCAACAACCTGAAGGTCAAGTCTTCTGAATCCCCAGAAAATGTACAAGCCACAAGGCTAGTGATTACCCTGTGTCCTTCAGTATTATCTGTTGGACCTGTTCCATTTTGTATAACATTCATTATCCAGAGAGAACTAAATCTACCAGATACAGCCTTACCTGACATGCAGGAGACTGCTGCGGAAGGCACTCCAAAAAATATTAAATCATGTAAATATGACAGAAAGCTCATGTACAGAATGCAAGGTTGAGAACGCCACTAGTAAGACTAACGGCTCAGCATTGCGACACCAAGGCATCTTCAAGAACAACTGCCAGAGTCACTACTTCATAACAGCCATAGACCAAGTAAGGAAAAAGGCTACCAAAATGATACACAGACTAGATCTCAGAAATGAAAGCAGTGAGCAAACCTGCTGAAGACCTTAAAAGGCTAAAATAAAGGACAAAGTCATGAAATTGGCTATAAATGCTTTAAGAAGTTAATAGAATCTCTCATGGCATACCCATCTCTGAACAGAGAGATAAAAGAGAAAAACAAGAAAAAAGCTGCATAGTTTATTCAATATGTTGCTCAAGCTACAGAGAATTCATGATAAAAAAAACCTGAAGTGATAGACTAGACTACAAATTACAGCAAGTGCTACATAACAGGGAATTTGAGACATCCAACTTAAAATTGGAAAGGCAGATGCCTGCATCTGGGGTGCTCTCAACTCCACAGAATGCATTAGTGAGACCTTGTTTATTCTTCTCAGAGCCCACAGAGGAGAGAGTGAACAGTTTCACCTGGAAAGTTTCCACTGTCAGAGCAGTGACTGCTATGAGAAGACAAAGCGGTCATTGTTGCCACAGGAATTAGACAATGACAAACCATTGGACTCTAAAGACAATTTATCATTGAGCAAGCTCATTCTGAGTTAGAAGAGCAGATGGCATTATAGCCAGAGGGTTGCTAGTGGCAAGGACATTGGCACTGAGCTTCCAATGCCAAAACACTGATAAACAAAAACATCAGGGGTACTATGAAAATTGTCTATGACAAATTGGAACAAGGGACATTCCATCCAAATACAAGGGTTTTTTTAAAAAAAAATAATCACAATGACAGTAGTCAAATATTGGAGCTGGCATCTAGAAAGATGTAGACTTTCCATCTCTAGAGGTGTTCAAAATTTAACTGGACATGGCCTTGAATAACCTGATCTAATTGGACGTGCTCAGAGTGTGATCTTAGACCAGATCTTCCATCCTAAATCATTCTATGAGCAGCTACATGGCCACCCTTTGGGATTTGGGCTTCTTTTTCAACTGAGAGCTGAGGATCTTTAAAGACAGAGCAAATTAATATATAGATCTCTTTCTATTGTAGAATAAGGAGCATTACCCCCACCCCATTCCTTCTAGATAGAAAGAACCCAATCTTAAAGAAAATTTGCACTTGTGGTAAAAGGAAAACTTACAAACAGCCCAAAATAAACCTCCAATCAGTATGCAACTGCTGTCAGAAAAGCAAATAAGTAAACATACACAGCTGGAACAGAAAGCATTGAAACAGCATTACTATAATGAATATATCTTCTTCTAATCTTACTGTGGCCCTGCTGATCACTCCATTTCAAAGGATCTAAGAACTGAGGGAGATGCAAGATAGGCAACAGAAGATGGACTGAACTGTTGCTCACTACAGCTCCACTCTCCTATTCACTGCTCCCAGCCACATGGTCCTGACCCTTCTCCTGAGTCAGTGTTAATTGTTACCTCACCCCAAGATGATGCAATTTATCACTGAGCTGAACTAACCTAGCAAAAAAGCAGACAGCTTTTGTCCAGCTTAGAGAACTGAAATGACCCAGCTAAAGATCAGGTAAGTACCAGAGCTAGTGGGACCAAATAGTTGGAGCGCAGTTGCACTCCAAAAGGAACACAACAGACACAAAATGACTTAGGATAGAGTACAAAGTATAATTTTCAGTTCATTCCAGCCCCCTACTATAAAAAACAGTAACATGTAATGACTGTGAAGGGAAAATTTAAAAAATCCATTTAAGAGTATTTAACTTCAAAAGGCTCAACTAACTTGTGAAACCTACTGCCACAGGATGAAAAGTGAAATCAAAGACTTAACAAGATTTAAAAGAAAAGATCAGAGTTGATATGAGAAATAAGAACAGCTAGTGAGAATAGGTAATGCTTACCAAAAAAAAAAAAAAATCAAAAGTTACAAGAAATAAAGAAACTTCCTATTTCAGAGTGAAAGCTGGCCTCTAACCAGAGTTTTAGAAAATCATTCCCTAAGGGTAGGCTAACCTATAATTGTCTGCTGCAGGATCCTTCAATTTTTTTCCGAACAGCTGATGTGGGTTGCTGGCAGCATCACAAACAGAACTAGGGATCTCTCTGGGAGACTGAGTAGCACTGGTTTACAGACCTGAGGTGATTCTCCAAATCCTGACTTCTCCATTTCTTCTGACATACCAATTGCAGAATTAAATAGTCTCTGTATAAGGCATTGGTGAGGCCATTCTCAAAAAAGAGAGACAACTACCATTTTGTAGTCGCTCTAAGTACTCCCCTGCTCATGACCCTGTGAATTAAGTTACCCCTCAGAGTAATAACTTTCCACTGAGTTTATGACTAACTAATTATACTCCTGGGTCTCTGAGACATTTTGAAAGAGCAGAGTTATTCCCCTAGTTCTCTAGTTGCCTCCTGTGATGGTTACCCCTCCACCTCAAAGGTATCACTCTCAAGGATGGAAATCATACTCAGCTTCCGCTGTCCTTCTGCTCTGGTGCCATCTTGCCCTGGAAGCATGCCTCCCTGCCTTTCCCCGTATTGCCTGTCCTGGGGACAGTCTCACCTGCTGATTATTAGGAGAATAGGGGGTTTCACGTCTCAAATTTCCTGTCCCAGACTCGCCTGCAGGAGCCTGAAAGAAAGAAGACAAAGCTAGATAGTTACTGTACAGCAGCAACTTCCATGCCTCTCCCTTAGCAGTGAGACCAGGAGGCAAGGGAGACCACTGACATCCAGCCCAAGGCCAACTATGGGCCACCTCACCACGAGAGAGCAGAGTTAGCATTGGGCCCAACAGCAGCTGTCACATGGCAGAAACTTGCAAAAAGCACTAGAAACAGCAAGGGAATGACATTAAACATGGAACTGGGATCATATCCAAACGCCCTGCAAGGCCAACTGAATCAGGTTAAAGCCTTCTGCCTTGTAAGACATCACCGGGGAATCCTTTCCCCCTAACTTCTCTTTAGCCCTTAACAGACTGGGCCACAGTCTAAGCAAACCTCCTGTTGTATAGACACTGAGCAAAAAAAGCCACTCCCAAGTGAAAGGAGACAAGATTCATGCCCAGCCACATCCATTGCTGTTGACCTACTGGTAAGACCTTTATAAATAGCCCAGAGCATAGGAAAGACAGGGCCTACCAAAGAGACCTACAGAATCATAGAATGGTTTGGGTTGGAAGGGACATTAAAGATCATCTAGTTCCAACCCCCCTGCCACAGGCAGGGGCACCTTCCACTAGACCAGGTTGCTCAAAGCCCCATCCCACCTGGCCTTGAACACTTCCCGGGATGGGGCATCCACAACTTCTCTGGGCAACCTGTGCCAGTGCCTCACCGCCCTCATAGTGAAGAAGTTCTTCCTTATATCTAATCTAAATCTACCCTCTTTCAGTTTAAAGCTGTTACCCCTTGTCCTATCGCTACATGCCCTTGTAAAAAGTCCCTCTCCAGCTTTCTTGAAGGCCCCCTTCAGGTACTGGAAGGCTGCTATAAGGTCTCCCCGGAGCCTTCTCTTCTCCAGGCTGAACA